GAGAGAGAGAGAGAGAGAGAGAGAGAGAGAGAGAGAGAGAATTATCTTCATTGCTAAAAACGGCTCAAAAAGACTCCAGGCTGGTTTCATTGCCAGCGTATCACTCCCTGGCTAATGTCCTACTGATTGGGGTGCTCTTTAATGTTGTATTAATCTATGCATCCTAGGGACCGTTGGTCCCAGTGAGATGTAACAATGTCTTACACTGTGTATGTGTGTGTTGTGTTCTGATTATGAAATCAGGGTAGGTTTATATATGATCATACGGTTTCATTTCGCTAAATGACATCTCTATGGGAACAGACTCTAATTAGATGCTCCTGTGATTTATTTCTGAACACACACTAGAGGAACGAAGAGGTCTTCAAAGTCACAGATCTGCAAAGCTGTGCCCGACCATTTTTTCTGCTTAAAGGAAGCCACTAGCAGTGGAAGGGGGGCGGGGTATTAAAAGCACTGAAAGATAAAGAAGGGTGACTGTCTCCACAGAAACTGTCTTACTGCACATCAAGACCTCCTCCAAAGACAGAGAACAGTCATGAACAGGCACTTCCATTTGGGCTCTGGTGCTACTTGACAATGTCCTCCCACCCTGTTACAGAAACCAAGACAGAGGGACCAGAAGCCTACAGCTCAGGGTGTCCAATAGGCACACCTTCCTTCCTCCTTCCAAGCAATCTCCACAGAGCACCTGTCAAGTACCAGGAACCCGGCCTTCCTTTTGAGCAGAAGAGACAAAGCTGATGTCATGGCACTGTCAACGCCAGAATGGACAGTGTATAAACATGGACATATCCCAATATAACTGCTGCTGCCATGAGGAAACATCGACTCAATCAATACACGGCCCAAGTGGGTGTTCCAAAATTTCAACTCTGGCAAATGGTCCTATACCACAGTTCTGGATTCCTGGACACTGACCTCTCTTCCTTCACATCTGTTGGCCTCTTCCTGGCTCAGAAGGTAACCACACTCACAGCCCAAGAGGCTCAATACCAAGGGCTCTTGTGAGCCAATTTTAAAAAACAAAACAAAAAACAACAAACGCCCCAAATCACCCTGCTTAACTCCAAATGAGAACCTGGATAGGCAGTCTTAGGGGGAGGAAGGATTCCCCTCACTAAAGAAAGAGAGGCTCCTGTACCCCAAAGGGCAGAGTCTGTTTCCCTAAAAAATGCTATGGGTGTTGATTGCACAGAGAAAACACCCTACAGCGGGCTGAACTTCAGGAGCGAAGCAGGAGTCCATCCTTCCCTGCTAGGTCTTAGGGCCTCTCCTTGGAATGAGGGAATCAGAGGAACCTGCAGGACAGCACACCTTTCAGGTCTTTATTAAGCAGATTTTTTTCAAGTCAAATGGCTCACTCTGATTTGTGGTCTCAGGTTTAAAATTACCAAACTGCCAATACCCAACCAAGGACCTTCGTTTTCATAGAGTATCAGCTGTACCAAGTAACACTCACATAATGCGGCATATGTCCCAGGACTCTCAGTGTACTAAACCTATCCAGTAGGTTCATTCTGCATTAACGAAGAAACCCAAACTGGGAATTTCAATAATCTGCAGTCACACACAGCTGCGAGACTGCATGGCCTAGATTCCCACCTGCATTCTGAGTGGCAAGGATGTTGAGAGGATTGGCATAATGAACACAAACATGGATATTCAAGGAAACGAAGAGACAACCACAAGCGCCTAGAGTAGCGGGACTATAGGAAAAAATACTACATAAACAGCATGGGGAAGCCACTACAACCAGCCAAGATAAGGCAGGCCAGTGGGAACTGTCGCATACACCCTTCCCCCAGCCCGAAAGAAAGGCATCCCTGAATTCTTAAAATAACTCTAGCTTCCTCTTGGCCAAGGCGTCGGACTGCTCCGTTGTCGCCAGAGAGAAGCCCGGCTCCGCGGGAGGTCGAGCTCCAGCCTCCGCATTAGCTGCTGGACGTCACCACCTTGCCCCGAGTCACCAGGGACCTCAGCCAACAGCTAGCCTTAGAGAGGGCCGAGGCCAACCCCCGTTCTCATGCTTGGGGACCCAGGGTCTTGCCGGATGACCGCTGCATCCCAGGTGACCCACTCCCGAATCCCCGCCGCGCTCCTTTCTTGGTGGACTGAGGCTTCCCTGTCACGGAAGACAAGCTGGAGCGGGCCCGCAGGTGGCCCACGTCAGCGACTCAGGGACGCCCACCCTGTGCGCACCTCCCACTACGCCCCCGCGCCGCTCCGCTGCGGACACCTGCGGAGCCGCCGCCCCCGCGTCCCCCGCTCGACCGCCCGGGCGAGTCACAGTCACTCCGGGCTGGAGGCATCCGAATGCTCACACCACCGGGGGTAAGCGCAGACAAGAAACGGCGCACGACCTTTGCTGCCGCTGCCTTTGCTGCGCCGAATCTCCGGGTCCCTAGCCAAGCAAGCGACCTGTGCTCCCGCAGTGGCCCAATCTTCGGTCCACTCGACGCGCCCACCCCGCGCTCAAGCCCCCGACTCACTCGCTCGCGGTGAAAGTTTCGGGGCGGCGGAACTCCACGGTGACTTCAGTTCAAAGCGGTGCACCGGACGGGACGGCCCTGCGGGGCCCGCCTGAGAAGCAGCTGCCGGCCCGGGTAGCAGGACGCGTGGCCGGCGCTTGCGGGTACACTGCGCGGGGGACAGTGCCCGGCCTGCAGCAGGCTATTTAGCTGCAGAGCGTCAGCAGGGAGGCACCCGGCCCGGCTCGGTGGGAGAGGAACTGGCTGTCGTTGAGCTCGGCCAAGAGGTCCCAGCTACTTCCTGGTGCTCGGATTTGCATACTGTGCTGGGAGGGCGGGGAAGTGACCGTTTGGTTCCTGTCCAAGGTTTGGTATTTGGTGTGGCCACCGCACAGGGTTTTGCAAGCAAACAGACTTTGGAGACACAGCATGCAAGTTGGGAGAGTGGGGGCAGCCTAGGAACCAGCATTCTTCCTTAGGAAGATCCTGGGGTCCTCAGAAGTCGCGAAAACTTCCACACAGCTTTGCCTTTCCTTCCCACCCAACTTCTCAATGTGCCATAAGTGGTGTGCGCCTGGGAGCAGAGGCTGCAGGCTCTGATCATTGCAGTGTTTGGAGCTTTCCACGGAGAAAAGGATACCAGCGAGTTGATGTTTGGGGAGCTCTTTACCTTAATAATCAAAACAGAGCAAATTCTTCAAAGGTGTATGTTGGGTTTGCGCAAGGTTTCACTGGAATGAGGAGTAGGGACTAGCTGTGGAGCTAAATGGCCTGGCAATCGCTGGTCTCCTCTCCAGGAAAATGGAGATAAGGAAGACGACTTAGCAAGAACTGCCTGTTGTAGCGGGCTCACACTAATTAGCATACAGCCACGGTGGTTGTTAATGCATTCCTACAAACGCTTGTCCACAAGCACTGTACACAATGCTTGCGTTCAGTGGGTGCCTAACCAGTGCTTGTTGCGAGACTGCGTGTTCAAACAAAAGTTTCGACTTGATAAATGCCTCTTATTGAACCAAGGTACACAATTAGCCTCGGTCACTCTGATGCTCACTTATGCTTATCTGACTTCTGTTTCCCCAGATCCTAACACCGCAATACCTGGTAGAATTAACAAAGAAAAGTGTGGACACTGTAGGAGACTTTGTGTATTAATAGTTGGGTGCAGATGGGAACCAGACATGGCTCTAAACACTCGCTTTGTTGTATTTGCAGTGTGGATAACTGTCTCCCCCAACTGCAGTCCAGCAGGTCAGAGCAGCCACCTTGTAACAAAGTCCAGTACAGCTGTCATTTGTTGCTAACGAAGGAGGACTGACACTTGCAAGCATAATGATGCATCCCATTTTTGGGGTTTGGTTTGTTTTTTTGTGTTTCAAGACAGGGTTTCTCCCTGTATTACTGGCTGTCCTGGAACTTGTTCTGTAGACCAGGCTGACCTCAGACTCAGAGATTTGCCTGTCTCTGCCTCCCAAGTGCTGGGATTAAAGCCGCGGGCCCCCACCACTGGGCACACCCACTTTTCAGTCAACCAGTGACTACAGAGACGAAGATGGAGCTGAGAACGTCTCTGCGGTGTCATAGCTGTCACAGCTCTCACGGTGGCCGGACAAGGCAGCACTACAGCATGTGTGGTGGTGCTGGTGCCAACGAGCCCGCCATGCTGCCCGTCACATAGCAGCACAGCACAGAGAACTGACAATGCGAACAATGACTTGGCATGGGATACCTTTATTTTAAGGCCACCCATTTTACTTCCAAAGGCACAGTGTGCTCAAGGCTAGTCAGTAGCAGGCTTATGTTGTTTACACGACTCCTGACTGCATCGAGAAGGACACAAAGTGAGAGACCTGGAGCACTTAGGTTTAAGTGAGTGTACCCTACGATGTCCACACAAAGACAAAAATCACATAAGAGCACACTTCTCAGACTGTGTCTGTCACTAAGCCACAGGTGACTATACCTCCTTAAAAGGAAACAGTAGGAGGATGATTATTCCTACAATGAACATGGCTACTGTCACTTTCCTGCTGAAGAGTAGCCAGGGGGTTACCCTGGGAATCTGCTGTGCATATGAGTTGTTATCTGTCAGGTATCCTATGGAGCAGGGTTTCTCAAACTGTGGGTCACAACCCCTTTAGGAGTCAAACCGCCCTTTCAAAGGGGTCACCTAAGACCATCAGAAAACACAGATATTTACATTATGATTCATAACAGTAGCAAAATTACAGTTATAAGGTAGTATCAAAAATAATTTTATGGTTGGGGGTCACCACAACATGGGGAATTGTATTAAAGGGTCACGGCATGAGGAAGGTTGAGAGCCACTGTCTAGAAGAACTCACCACCTGAGAATCCATGTCCTGGCATTTTTGAACGACCTCTTCAATACATTGGCCCTAAGCAGTAGCACTCTTACACTGAACCTTTGAAGTCTTGGCTAATGGCAAACAAGAATAGCAGTAAATTATTTGGCATTGACTGTCACTGGTGCTCTTTCCACTCTCCTGGGAATCTTCCTCCAGAGGTCTAGATTTCTGAGCCCAACATGGGCACTCTTATAAACTCTTTGCACAAGCTCCTGGTCGACTTTTGTGAGAAGAGGCAGAGTGGACACAAAGCTTCCCTTTAACTCCTGTAAGCCTGGCCAGAGACCCACATGACCCACGTGGCCATACCACAGAGGAGCAGTGACAAGCTGAAGTCCAATTAGTGGTCACAGTATCCCCGTGGCCAGACTTACACAGACCAATCAAGTCAATCTCTGGAGGGGAAATCCAACCGTTCTCAAGCTCCCCAGATTGCTCTAGTAATCAGCCACCACTGGGAACTACTGAGAGAGACTCAGCCAAATGCAAGTTGCTCATTTGCAGTGTGCTTAAAACTGGCGTAAAACCTGCTGGTTTGGGGAAAGTGTACTACAGAGAAGAGAAGGCTCACTTGGCTGCAATGGTGCAGCAGAATTTTACCAGGGAAATGAGTAATAGTTCATCCAGATTCTCTGGAAGGAAGGTGACTAGTGATCCCTTTGTGGTAACCAAAAGACCGGGTAGGTTCTTCAGTGAACCTCCTACTCAACCCTCACAACTACATCCTCGTTTTTACAATGTGTAGGTAAGAAAGGCTCAACATGGGTAGGCAACTTGTTCCAATTCCCTCTGTAAAGTGGATGGGTTGAATTTGAACTCTGTCCTGTGGATGACATCGAAGCTTTCTATTAAGTCACTTTCTCAGCCTGAGATGCCACAGACAAAGCAAAGCCCTAGTAAGCCCCAGCCTTGCTCGGTTTCCCAAAGCAAACAGTGAGAAATCCAGCTCTAAACCATGTTAGTCTGACATTACGAAGGAACAAACAACCTAAACAATATGTTGTTAAAACTGAGCCACATAGTAATGATTATGACACCAATAACATAATTATAAGTTTGAATCTTATTAAAGTTAATCTGTCATATGATGACACACAGAAATGTGCTGCACTGTAACTAGACCAAAACAGTGAACTACACATTAAAAATTGCCTCATACAGCCAGATTAGAGGTTTCCAAGGTCTGCCTGGTACTGTCTGGAAGGTAAGAATCAGTGTGACCATTTTCTGTTCCTTCTGAGGAAGGGCAGCTCCAGCCACCCTCCCCCAGTGTCCTTCCCTCAGATCTTTAGTGTGGATGCCCCCTTCTCATCTCCTATCAAGCTGGCTCCACGACTTTGGTATCTGCCTTGTCCTCGGTTCAAATTCTACAAATGCTTTCATGGTTTCTAAGCAGACTTCTGGTCTCCAGAAACACGTGTTAGTTTTCATGTAGACATTATTTCAGAATTACAGGAAAGTATCCAAGGGAACACAAAGAATCACCATATATTCTTTGCTTAATTCTCCTATAATGTTTAACCATACTTTTGTTCATTAGCACTCTCCTCTCTCATCCATCTTCCATCAATCAATCTCTTTGCATATAAAATATCCTAACTATTATCTGACAGCTTCAGGAACAATAATCCTTTGCTCTCTAAATATTTCACCCTGAATTTCCTAAAATAAGATGCCTGGGGCTGTAGAGGTTGTTCCCCAGTTAAGAGCACTAGCTGAGAACTGCTTTTATGAGAGTGATCCTTAGTGTCTTCATGTTATCTTCTGTTCCAGTTTGCTTCCTGTTTTTGTGACAAACAACATCACCAAAAGCAAGTTAGAGGAGGAAAGGATTTATCTGGATTACACTTACACACAGTCCATCACTCCAAGAAGCCAGGGTGGGAACTGAAGCAGGAACTATGGAGAAATACCTCTCTCTACAGATAGGTAGGTAGATGGATGGATGGATGGATGGATGGATGGATGGATGGATGGATGGATGGACGGACAGACGGACGGACAGACTGACAGATGGATGGACAGGCAGGCAGGCAGATTATACATACCAGGGCCATTGACCCACAGTGGGCTGGACCCTACCATATTGATTGTCAATCAAGAAATTTTCTTACAGACATGGTCACAGGCCAGTCTGATTGAGACAATTCTCAACCGTGGTTGCCTCTTTTCAAGTGACTCTAAGTTATGTTAAGGTGACAAAAATAAATCAAGATCTTGTCTCTTCTTTCTGTCTATAGACATGCTCATCCCTCCTTTTTCTTCATTTTTTTTAAAATTTAAAGTATGTTTATTCAGGAACGATGGTATAGTTTAGAATTGTATGACAGAGTGGAGGGGGAAAGGTAAATGTACCTGTTCTTTCAAATTCATGACAGGTGACTCTGACATTCAGGGAAAGTAAAATCAGTATTCCCAAGAATTCTAAAAAAAAAAAAAAAAAAAAGAAGAAGAAGAAGAAGAAGAAGAAGAAGAAGAAGAAGAAGAAGAAGAAGAAGAGCTCTAGCTGTTTTTGCAGAAGACCCCTGTTTGATTCCCCAAACCCACATGGGGGCTCACAACCATCTGAGGGAAACACAAGCGTCAGTTATTTTGTAGAACCCACATGGTGGCTCACAACCATCTGAGGGAAACACAAGCGTCAGTTATTTTGTAGAATTCTCTCTGAGCTTCGTATTCCCTCACCATTCAGGTGACATCCTTTTGGCAAGGGACCTCTCTCATAAAGTGCTTTTTTATTTGTCTCAGTAAGGAGGGCATCAGGAGGTACAAAGGGCCTGTATCTCCATCTCTCCCTGCACTAGTAAGGCTAACGTTGATCACTTGGTTAAATGGATCAATTAATTTCTTTCTTTCAGAGAGGGGCTTTGATAGTATAACTTTTTCATTTTTCACCAAACTTTTACCCACTAAATATGAGCATTCTGATAATCCTTGAATAAAAAGA